AAAATATTTACTGGAATAAGTGTTTATAAATGTTTATGTCAGTGATCATAAAGGGTTTATGTAGGTGTCTCATAGCTTTATAAACACTGTCCTACACTAAAGTGTTTCCACAGATTGCAGTGTGCCTTGCTCTAAATGTGTCAACAATTTGGCAGTGTGGAAATGTGTGCCAAACCCACCTAAAGACCGTACAAGGGTAAATTACCTGTAACTTTAGTGCTGTTGGATTATAATATACTGGTGAGGTCTTTCATTTGACGCATTAAAATAATAGCACAACCACTCTGGCACAATAGGCAGCATATGGAAAAAAACAACTGCATGTACTCCACTATGTGTTTGTGGATGTGTGTGCAAGTTTGTGTGTTGCGTGGATGCGTCAGTTGGGTTAGAATTCAGCGTCTAAAAAGATGCAAAAGCACAGACAGAATACTTAACACTTACACTTGTGCTGATGTATAACATATTAACTCTGGATTCAGTAGCAAGGATCAGAGCAGACCACAAATAAGACAATCAAGTAAGCTCTTTACACATAGCGTCGCAGCACTGCATCTTAGTTTGGTTTACACAGACCGTCTTAGGAAGTGATTTCATAGCATCCTTATAAGTAAAAAACAATAAAACATGATATAAATGGGACATAAATACAAATAGATCAAGCAGCATTGCAATTACTGTTATAGTACTATTGACATCATTAAGCCATACAGTAGACCATCACCAGCTTTACACATTTTAAAATACAATTCCATTTTAAAAACTACTAATTGACAGTCATAGCAGGACATTCTGTACAAACCACAGGGGTTTGCCAACAGCAGGTGGCAGTGTTTCTCTCCACTAATTAATTTACTTAAAATAGTACACCATCGGGAGCTCAGAGGCAACAAACAGTGCGTCTTCCATAGTTTCCAGTGAAGAGAAATGAACTTTAATAAAACACTATTCATTTTAGACTGCTCTTTATTACTGGCTATCTTTTTCCTCCAAAAGAACCCTAGGTACTTTTTAGATAGTGAAGGACTTTCAGAAAAATCCTAAATTCTGCTCTTAGACTATAGGGGATTTCAGCATGTTCACAGTAAGATAAAGCAGAGAAACTGAAGGTAAAGCATTTTCATAATCATAACTTTGCTTAGCACAATTCTCACTGGTTCACTGTATGTTTCTTGTATTGGCACACAGGTCTCAAAAACTACAGTAGGTTAGGTTTTACAAAGCCTAGGTCTCCAGATTACAATATAGGAATGTTTATAGTTTGTATGTTTTAAATACATATCTATGCTTTTTTTGTTGTTATTATTATTATTATTATTTTTACAAAGACATGATTATGGACTACTAAACACTATATGAGCAGCTAGTGGTGGTGTGAGGTAGCCTGTGACAGTGTTAGCTGTAAAGACAGACTTTGGCCCTCTCAGATATAATCGGTATGACTAAAGTAAGAAAACAGGACAATAATCAATTATAATTTTTTTAAATGGCGGTGGTTTAAGGACTTTTAAGAAACTATAAACCAGTGGTCAACAACCCTGCTTATGGAGAATCTGAAACTCTCCAGCATAGCCTAGGCCAACCATAATCTGCTTCAGAAGTCTTTGATTGGCTAGTTCAGATGCTTTAACATTAGGTGAGGAAGGTGGAAGCTTGTTAAATATGGGCTAGTACAAAATTTGGCTGGGACATGCACTGGTGAACGCTACTAAAATAATTCAAAATAACTCTAGAATGCTCTACAGCTCTACATGATCTTTGATCATTTAAATAATTTATTTATGGGGAGTATATATTAACATTATGTTAATCCTGGCTACAATAAGTTAGATATTTGCTTATTAATACATACTGTACTTGTAATACATATACAGTTTATAATACATTCATATATGTCAACACCTAAATATGTATATACATGTACATATTTCTGTAAGCATATAAATATAGAAATTGGAGTAACTGTAATAAATAGTATTCTATGGTTTAGTGTGGCCTAGTTTTTATAGTGGTTTAACTATCAGATGTGTTACTCTCAATCATTACAAAATACAGAAATACAGAGAAAGCGCCAGGGCTCTAGCCATGAGCTCAATCAAATATGACAAGTGAGATGAACTCTATGAAGTAACAATGCTTAGATTTCAGCTTTCTGTGCATGCTATCCAAATGGAATCATTTAGAGCCGAGGTCTTGAATCCAGTTCCTGCTCCTGAATTTGGTAGTCACTGGTAGGCAGTGAAGCACATTACTGTATATTAGTAAGTATCTGTAACTTTAAAAAGATATTTCCATTTTCTGAGCCTTCTGCATTCGGTCTACATTTCAGAGTAAAATATCACACTTTTTCCTCCACTACTTGCTGGAAGATACTGTGAAGTAAAAAACTAAATTTTCTATAACATACAAGAGAACATGATGCACTCACAAATAAATCAAACCAATCTTAGCAAATCACTCCCCTAAATACTAAATTTCCATTTAAGTGTAACTAGGCCCGTGCAACTCTGACAAGCTTTCAGAATTAAAGAAAACACCCAAACTGAAGACGCAAGAGGAGAAATGTAGAATCGTTTGAATATTTTGCAACACTTTTACTTTTGATACTTAAGTACATAAAAATTAAGTTGGCAAATAAAATAAAGCACTCACTTCAGTGTTATTTTGCTTAAGGTACCTTTACTTTCACTTAAGTACTGGATTTGTTTACTTTGACCACCACTGCTGGTAGGTATGACATTAGATGGCCACTCAGTTACGTCAATAGTTCAGTTAACTGCCAGTGATTACAAAACCCAGGACCAGAAACTGCATTCAAGCTCTAGATTTGAATAGCTCTAAAGGAACTGAGTAGGGCTCTTTACAGTCAATGGAAAGTCATGTTCAGCTCCTGTTATTCTATGTGTCAGATTAGGGCAGATCTGAAACCTGATAACAAGATCAGCTGAAGTAATTATCTAGCTTGTGATGATAAAACACGACATTCACTACTGACCCTCTTCCCTACATTACTGTAGGGCCCGATATCAAGAAAAGCTTGACCTCATATTTTGATACAGTGTGGATTGCCAGACTGAAGTGGTGTTGATTTATGTAAGCAAACACACAGACACTGTGTCACATACAGGCAGAAAGGCAGTTAATGTGATTGGGTTACTCTACAGCTTGACTGTGATCTTGTGGAGGACAAAATGAATTGGCAGTGAGTAACTGGCATATCAAAGCAGTGTGATTCTACAGAAAAACGGATTGAAAGGTCCAGTGGGGCATAGAACTAGGTCACTGCTGCATAAAGCTTTGCAAAGATGCTGAATGAACAATGCTTACTCAACTATAGCTATGTGGGTCTGTGTTCAGTAAATGGGTGGCTAGTTGTTAGCACATAACTGAGACTGTGCTATTCTGAATATGGAATGTAAACCTTTTTCTTCACCCATGTCTGAGTCATTTTGCTGATATAGCATGTTTTCTTTTAAAAAGAACACAAACACAAAATGGGATACCCTGTCAGTAGTCTGAACTCAAACAATGCTTGAGCACTGATGGAAATCTCTGCTTTTAGAGTTTCCTTCTATGGGTAGTATCTGTTGCAGTGAGCTAATCAGGTATTCTAACAATGAGACCGTCAATTCAGCAGAGTAAAAGTGTCATTTGGTGCTTTTTTCACAGAGATGAAACATCAAATTCCTTTGTATACAAATTGGAATGGGATCGATAAATTGTGGAATTCCCGGCAGTGGGAGACTATGGAACGACTGTGCTCTAATCTACACACTCTCAAAGTGACTGGGCTGTAGAGCTCCAAAAGGTGAAGACAAGAGACATACAAACAGGCCGCAATAAGAATGGTTTAGGCCACAGAGTGTAACAGGTCAAAAAGTGACACTGAGAAAAATGGTGATTAAATAAAAAAGGCAGAGAAAAAGAGAGAGGTTATAGATTAATCCACTGAACACTCTCCCCCCCTTTAGCTTCACCTCTGTAACACCAGTGCCCATGAGAGCAGGTCATTCAGAATGGTTATCACAAGATTCATACGTTGTTAACCCAACACTTTGTGCATGTGTTTTGTATGTGTATTTGTGTGTCCATGCTCACCAATTAGTGCTCAATAATGTTCAGCTTTTACGCACACGCTGAGCACTCCGCAAATACACTTCCGTTCAAAAGTTTGGAATTCTTGTTTCCAATAATATGGTTACAGCTAATGTATAAGATGATTCTAATACACTAGGGGTGGAAAAAGTACAGAGAAACTGTACTTAAGTGAAGGCATGGATATGGTGTCAAAGTTTTACTCAATTAAAAGTGGAATTATGGAGCCATAAAGATACTTGAGTGAAAGAACATATTATTATTTTGACATTATCATTTAAACATAACATTTGCACATAATGAAGTATATAAAAATAAAATTAATTTTTCAAATTAAAGTTAGTGTGTAATATGGTGTGGTGACTAATGTCTGATATTGGTCCTTACACAAAGATGAATTACAATAGTTATGGGCAGTTTTATTTTACGATGATATGAATATAGGTTGGATGTTTTAATAATAAAACCTGCAAGACTTTTACGAATGAAAATGTAAGAAGTAAAAAGTAGCTCTTCCCTGTAAAAAGTAGCTTTTCTCACTGTAAAAAGTAGCTTATCTCTTGTAAATGTAATTATGTAACAGTACAAGTATTGAATTTCAGTGATGTTCAAGAAAAGCAAATCTTCCAAAATAATTCTTAAAGGTCCCATATTATGGAAAAACTAATTTTCCTTGCTTTGCTGGAAACACAAGTGTGAGTGTCAAAACGTACCATTCGCTCCCCAGTCCAAGCCGTCCATACACGCCTATTCAGCCTACAGCAGATTAGCCCTGCCCATGACTGCCCAAGTTATAAGAAGTGTCAAACTGGAGTGCTTTTTGAATGCGGCACAATACAGAGCAGAGAATCCGAACAGAGCTTATTTACATAAATCAGTTTTAAACATGTTGCTTAATGCTAAGGGAAAAAGGCTTCAAACTATTAATAGGAAGCAAGGGGCAAAAATAAGACAACAGACATTTTGATGTTTTCAAAATAATGTATGAGCTGTAGACAATTCTGAAGTGATTAAGAAAGCTACACAATATGAAAAGCCTCAACGCCTTGTGTTTCAAAAGTGGTGATCAAATCTTTAGTCAGGTAACTTGACAAAAATGTACTGTAAATAGGTCATTTCAGTATTTTGTCATTTAATAACTTCTTGTTGTTCCTAAATACTTAAAATATTGCATAAAATGTGTAAAAATACCTTTTAGTTGACAGTTCATGATATTTAAATCTACACTGTATACATTATTACTGTATATAAAATGAGGATTATCAATGCGGTAAGTGATTCCAAATTTTTGAACGGTAATGTATGTATTTGCTTTTGACTATGAATGTCTGTGTGTGTGTGTGTGTGTGTGTGTGTGTGTGTGTGCGTGTTTGTGTGTGTGTGTGTGTGTGTGTGTGTGTGTGTGTGTGTGTGTATGTGTGTGAGAGAGAAGGTGCTGGCCTGGTAAGATCTTTGCCCCCAGACGGACTCTGGAGCCTGAGGAGGGATAGAGTATGGTGTTGGCTTTCTATCATTTGCTCTTCAGCTTCCCCTCCTTGGCTAGCTTTTCGTTGAGCTGGCACAGCTGGCGTAGGAAGCCGTCGTTGGGCCCGATTTCTCTCTTGTGCCGTACTTGAGCTGTAGCCACTCGTACGTCCATCTTGTGTCGGAGCATGAGGTAAGCGATGACGATAGTCGGGGAGCGGCTGTAGCCTTCTCGGCAGTGAACATACACTTTTCCTAACATTAGAACAGAGGGCAGAAGGCAGGTGAGTGCGCAGAACTGAACCAGTGTACAAATAAAGAGGGTCATTAAAGGGCAGAGAAACAGATGCTGTGTGCGTGTATGTGTGTCTACACCTGCCTAGCTTAGCATCATTATCCCAGCTCACATGAGGCAAATAAATACTTCTAAATACAAAACATATACAGTACTACGCAAAAGTCTGAGGTATCTGAGAAAATGACATGGAACTCCATTTATTCAGGCAGTAAGCGTTATTATAAAACCTTAACATTACGATAAATGAAAATAAACAATTAAACAATACATTGTAATTTGTTATGTTTAGGTGTAATGCTAGAGGAATTTAATAAAGTACATATATACGGCTGGAGTGCAGCAAGAATTCAAGAACCAGGCGTTTTTACAGGTTCTCTACAACCAATCGTAATCTCAATTTGTTTAAGAAGCAAGCAGTTGTTCTGGAAGTCCTGACGATGAACTGCTGACACAATTCTGAGAAAGTCCCGCCTACCTCAGTTATTGCTGCTACAGCCATCAAACTTTCAGCTCAGTCTACCTGGTAGCACCCATAACACTTGTGCTAATACACTAAAAGGTTCAGTAGTACAAGAAAAATTCCAGAAACACAAGGAGCATATTTTTTTTCGAACATATTTTTCATTCCAAAATAAACTGGCTTTACAAGATGTTATGTATGCAGACATACATGATTGTGGAAACGATGTTTACACTAATCAAACCAGGGACATTTTTCAGTTACTCAATGTTAAAGCAGTAGGTTTTTATGTTTAATAAGGAGGAGGCTTCAGCAACAGAAATTAGCCCTTCAGATGAGCTAATGCTAAAGCAAACGCTGGAGATAGTCAGAGCAACGTTAGATGCTGAGGAGCTAGTCAGTAATGAGAAGGTTTTGTTTTTTTATGCAAGGTAAGATATTCACCAAATTTTAATGAAATAACAAAAATGATGATGTGTGTAAGTGCATTCATATTTATCTTTACACACATTGGCCCACATTTACTACACATCTCAATGTAGATCTCAAGTCAGTCCTACAGAGTGCATTTTAAAAGGCATAAACTGATTCAAGATTAATATTCACACTCTGAGAACACTGATAAATGTGGGCCAATGTTTTGATCATAAATGAGAGTAATGTACAGTCTTGTTTAATCTGACTGATTTATCAAGCTAACTGTCAGCAGATAAATTCAGATGTGTTGTGTAATCTGCAAATCAGCTCATACACAACAACCAATCACAGGTGTTGTTTATTATTTTTCCTGCTGCATTCAAAAAGATGGTGCTCACCTCAAAAATCATACATTTTCAAGCCGTTTTTCATTTTCTTACACCGGCTTCACACTAATACACACTAATTGTATTAGTCCTTGCAGTCATGGTCCATGTGCATTACAATGTAACAAGACTGGCACATATTTTTTAACTAGCTAGAGCTGCTGAAGGCTACTGATTTAAACTCAGTATTGGACTGGATTTAAATCTGATTTAAATTTGTTTCGGGTGTGTTTATACCTGCATTTTTATGTGGATAATCTCTATCCAGATATTATCCTGATACTCATGGTGCATTAAATGACCATGTGTAAATAGGGTTGATTAACTGATCTTGATCATTTTTCTCTAATGTTATTTATCAATAGACATCATATTAAAAACATTTTGATGACATGCAGTAACCCAGACAACATTTAGATTACTTTAGAGCTAGCGTAAGTTTGCCTGTTAACAGTTATGACATTGCGCTGTAAATGTGGTCTTCCAGAGTTTAATCCAAAACGTTTTCAGCTTCAGGAATGAAATAACAACAATTAACCATCCAGATGACCAGGATGGCGTGAGTCAGGCATTATACGTTCCTCATTAACCCTTTTCCACCATTTCTTGGTCTAATAATTCTGACTAATTTACTGCCACTGCCGTTCTCAATTCAGGTTTGTTTTAAGCAGTTCTGTCAATGTTTTTCCTTGGCTTGATGGAGGAAGGAATGTTTAAAGATGACTATGACTGGTTGAGAGGCATGTCAGTCCTAATAGAGCTCTGCACAAGGGAGGTTCCCCCACAGGTCCCGTGTGAACTGCAAAATAATTTGCAGGTAGGATTCATTTTGAGGTGCTGTGGTCATTGTGGTTAAACAGGTTGTGGGCTCATATGCATTATGGCTGGCTGGATGGGGCGGGCTATTATTAATAAGAAATGATTGGCTGCTTGTGGAAGTGGACAGGCAAGAAAGAAATAAGCAACAAAATGGAGACATAAGCTTTTGTTCCGACAGCAGCAATATGAAGCTATATAACATACAGTAAATGACTAATGCACAAAATCTATTTTTTTTTTCCCAAGAAAATTCTTTTGGCATTTTAACAACTATTTTGGCTTGAATTTAATTTTGGCTGACTTGTAGAGATCTTGTAAAGTAACTGTAAATTGTAAAAGTAATGTTGATACGGATAAAAAGTGAGTGGACATGTCCTACACCAGAGGAGCAGATTATAGCAAATGCAGGCAGCATGCGCATGGCGTGTGGCTCAAGCGGGCAGGTGCGGGCATCAATAATCATATAAATAAAAATTATTTATTAAATAAATAAATGCAGACTTTTGCTAACAGTCAATTCCCATGATGTGCTCAGGAAAGCGTACTGTGATGAAATGCATCACAATAACAGTAATATATCGTCATACTGCCCAACCACAGCACTAACCACATCACGATCACATTCTTAGAGCCTTCTTCCAACCAACTATCCCAGTAAGCCATCAATAAACACACAGACACAGACACACACACACAAACGCATGCACACACATAGATGCATTCATTATCGACCGGTCCACACCCCTGGAGGAATTCACCTTGCCAACTTCTGCTGCGCTTATTCTGCAGAATCTGCACAGCATCTGTAACCTGATCTCTCTCTCTTTGTCTTTCTCTCACCCCTCCCTTATGCTCTTCTTTTCTCTTGTGCATGTAGGCCTATGCTGTTCGGAGGTGTGACATTTTACAATTCCCAATAACCCTCTTTGCACCACAGATCTATGTAAAGCTGAGTGAACCACTTCTCCTGTGTATGAAAGAGCATTCTAGACCCAGGCAATCCCTGGACTTATTAAGATTCATCAACTCAGTTTGCAAGACCACAAAATGTCATAGAAAACTCTAAGCATCGCTGTCACAAATGGTAGTGGTGAAACACTCCAGGATTGTGTGGCAGCAAATGTCCTGAAGGTTTTGTGCTTCAGCTCAAATTCTCACTTAAAAGATTAGTGTCCTCTCTCAGCCCTGCTCTCATTACTGTGTAACAAGCTGTTCTGCCAAATTGGCCGAGAATTAAGATGCTTTATAATTGCTCTTCCACTCTGTCAGAGATGGCATAAAATCCATGTCATAAAACATGAGGTTGAGGGCACCAATTAAAAGCAGGACGCCTCTTGTGGGTAAAGACTTCAAGCAGTGCCCTGGGACGCTTAATTGTCCCATACTTATCCCTGTTGTCAACTAGGCACAGTAATTACTCCAAGAGAGTTGATCGACAGTGACCTCAACAAACATGGTTTAGCCAAATGCAGTATGAAACATATCAACAGAAAGTTATGAACATGAACTGTAAGAGACAGGAAGAAACAAATGTGGTATATTTATCCTGGACTATTGCAAAAAGGCACACGTTATTTGATTTGGCCTTCTGGGTTCATGAAATTTTAGGAATCCATAGCGTTATAAATGATGAAAGAAATTGTTCTGAAGTAGAGTGGAACACCCCCTGTTTTGAAATTTCACAGAAATTTGTGTATCCAGTTAATGATGTTCCAAAAGAGCCTTTGAAAAGTAATCATTCCTGCCAAGTTACATAGATGGATATGTACCACATAAACACAACAACTTTCACATACCTTTTCCATTTGCATGTGCCAGACCCTTATCAATGAAGTCAGCTGCCTCCTCAAAGAAGGCACTGAGGTTAAACTGTTCGGTGTCATTGGCCTTTATTCCATGGTATGTGATGCCAGTTCCTGCGTAAAACTCGGCGTTGGTGTTCACATGCATGAAGGAGTTGCCCTCTGCGGCGTTGAGAATGTGTGTCACACCGAGCCGCTGCAGACGCATCACATTCTGGGCCACAAACCTGGGGAGAAGAAGCAAAGCACACGTGAGCGTCACCTGGCCTCGTCTCACCCATGGGAAATCTGCTGATAGAATTAGATTACAGATATATTAGCACTGTCATTTGAAGACTAACACATCTGAAAGTTTTTTCCTTCACTTTTCTAAAAGTGCTACACTGGAACATTAAATTTGAATAACCTCAGCCTTTTTCTTTGTTCCTTGCACATAAAAACTTCATAAGCATTTATGCAATGCTACTGTAAGGGTTCTGCAACGGTGCTGCTTACTGCTTTCCGCTTTTATGGCAGAAAATAAATGTGCACTCATTCACTGGGTTTAGGCTAGGACCCTTGCACTCCCTGGACCTGCTCCGTTGTGCTCAGCGGGAACACTTGACGGGAATACATTGTTGAGCTGCTTTTAGATGGCAGAGATGTCGGTCCATGTTAGAGAACCTCAGGGGACAGCAGTGCTCTAAACCAGTACAGACGCACAGAGGAAATTTTGGCTGCTGCCCAGAGGCATACAAAGAGCCATAGGCGCCCAGCACAGTGCCCAAAATAGGACTTAGAGAGAGAGAGAGAGAGAGAGAGAGAGAGAGAGAGAGAGAGAGAGAGAGAGAGAGAGCGCATAAGGGGAAAAGAAAAGAGTGGAGAGCAGAGTGGATTGCTCTGTCATCATGTAGTTACAGCGCCTCTGTTCTGCTCTAGCACCTGCAACACTTTCATCTTCATCTGCTCACAGTCCAGGCTTTTTATATCTCTCTCTTGTTTCTTTCAAGTTTATACAGTAGATGAATGTGGTGCAACAAATGGGCACACAAATGAGTTAATACTGAACAATAATGACTAAATATGTAATATGCATAGGTTTTCATATTCCTACTAACCTTATATTGAGCTTATTTGTTACTTAGAATATTCAATAATTGGTTTAATGTTTGAATTCCACTTGGTGACTAATATATGATCTCTCAATTCAAGAAAACTCCATCTTGTACAGTACTGTGCAAAAGTTAAAGACCACCCTTTCATTTACTTAATTTCCATTATTTTTTCACACTTCCAAAGTTCAGTTTATTAGTTGGATTTTCAACTTCTCACAAACCAAGCAATTCCTAACACATTCAATGATTTGAGGCCAGGACCCAAAGGTCAAAGAATGTTCTCCTTTTTGTTAACTTCATTCATCTCACTCCTTTCAAAGCACTGTTTTCATGGTGGACTGGAGAGAAACACCTGTTGATTTTCTTTCAGACCTAAAATAAGAACAGAGCTGTATTTTCCTTTATCTCTCAACAATGAAAACTTTGAGTACTGTTCATCTTTTTCGGTGGCCTGCCAGGTCTCACATGCTTTTTAGGAATCCCATTTTCTCTTTATGAAATTCCTTTTGGAAGGAGTTTTGGAAACTCCTGTTTTTTTTCATTTGACCCTTTTTAATGCGAGTTGATTATCTGATATCTAATCCCCTCTAAAATATATCCTGAAAAATAAATAACTTGTACTTTGGCTGTTTCGACAGCCAATAATAAATGAAGGGTGGTTTCTTATACATCACATTTTGCTTCTGAAGTAAAACGTGAAGATGCTTTAGACATCCCACAGGGACAAGGTTCAAAATCACCATACACTGGCCAACACATGAAGATTATACCTGCCGCCTTTCTGGTTTGTAACTGGAGGGGGTATCAGCCCATATGTCTCTGTGTGCCTACAGCCAAAGCTCTTCAATGCTGATGAAGTGATGGATTCTGATCAAATCTTCAAGATCCATAACTCAAGGCCCTTCTACATTGAGATAGCCTATCTATCCAGAGCCGCAGAAGATTGCAGTCATATTTCTTCCCCTATTGTACTGTGTGTGTGTTTGTGTGTGTGTGTGTGTGTGTGTGTGTGTGTGTGTGTGTGAAGCCTTGAAGTCTGCTCCCCTGGCTGGCCATGCTCCCTCACCCCAGCTCACTGCAGTCTCTACACATACATTATTAATAGAATCCTCACAGAGAGCAGCCTTTCACTCTAAAGCACTTCCCTTACATACCTGTACATTTAAAGGTGCTTTAGGTTAAAACCCTGAGGATAAACGTGGGCACTGTGCTTTGATGTTTAGCATTCCCACAAAATTTACATATGACGTGAATCTAAGCAATAGAAATGTCAATATACAAAGAAATGTTAAATGAGATGATGTGGAGTCTGATATTGTTGCGGAAGCTTCTTCTATATTGTGGAAATTTCACTGGTGAAATGGCTGAGAATGAAGCCAAAACACCATGCATGCCATTAAAAAGCTTCAGAAAATAAAACTGGTGACTTATAGATTGGGTGAAGACTTCTGCATTGTGTGATGATTCACTTATCATTACAGATTCCAATGGGCTATACTGTTACAAGTTTGAACCACCAGTTTTGTTATGGGTAATAATAAATGAATAATACTTAATAAACATCTGTGCCACCTGTTAATTTAAAATGACCTTATTCAGAACCCTTTTCATAAAAGTGTTTGAAGTAAACATCTTTGAGTCTTGATATTCAATGTTATTTCAAGTTGTATTCTGGAAGCTTGATGAAATTATTGATTTATTTACATAATTTTGCTAAAGTTAGGTTGCTATGGTAAATGAAAAGTTTTTAACCTACCTCATGCACTACCTCATGATGCTCTGTTCAATTTCAAATAACGGGGCATGGACATGTCTCCATGCTATTCAATAACACATTATGTTGTATAAGTAACATTAACATTGGGTAGGTGCAAATAATAGTAAATGAAATGAAAACTACTGTCTTATCAATAAGCCTCAAGTTTAAATGCCTTTAATGCCTCTGGTCAGTCGCAGCTTAGATAAAGTCGAATGGGTTCAGGCTCCAATAAAGGTCTGGGGTATGCTATGGATTACAGGTGGAATATATCTCGTATTTCATTAATATCTTCAAAATTTCTTATGAATTGCCAAATGGTTTCTTTGACAAAAGGCCAGTGAGTCTGTATACCCTTTCATAAATCTACACTGCATAAGCTAGTAACTGAAATTCTTTGTGACACTGTTTTATGTCACTTATTTTAGAAAATCCACATTATTAAACTTGTCATTTATCATAACAGCTGTTTAATGCATGAACCCCATGCAAGTGTTTACATACTTTTGCTTTTCCATATGCTTCACTTTTAATAGTGCATTTCAAAAGAGTGATTCAGAAATAAATCAGAGTGGAGCTTGACTGCAATTGACAGATCAATCTAAGAAAACCCAGTGGTATAATAATATGGCAGATTTGTTAACAGATTTCTCTACTTGTACTGCCTAAAGGAAAACCAACCTGAACTTATAGCATCAGTTTGATGGTGATGTTAATTACAGCCTGCCATGTTTATCCTACAATCTAACATTCAGTCTGTCCTGAATGATGCTTAGTAAAATGATGGATCTTGCAGAGACAGTACAGACATGGCCAGATGGAGGACTTTAACTGGCAAAACAAGTTCAGATTCTAAAATAGGCATCAGCACACTTACAGCAATAACAATGTCCAACCAATCAGCTACTTTAATATGCAGTCATTGCTGACACAGGTTTTTCAGCTGCACACATACAGCTTGTATAATCTCCATAGAAAAGCAATGAATGGAACTCACTGGAGCAACCGCACATGAGCCAGTTTGCCATGCCCAATGCCAAATGTCAGCACAGGGGTATTAAGCCCTCCTGAACTGGGCTGTGGAACAGTGGAACTGCATTATCTGGAGTGACGGAGCTCCATCCAATACCTTTGGGATGGGCTGGGGGTCTTTTGTGATCATACAACATCAGTACCCGACCTCACTAATGCTCTTGCTTCTGAATGCAATCAAATCCTCACAGTTCCAACATCTAGTGTAAAGCCTTTCCAGAAGTATAAAGGCTGTTACTGCAGCAAAGGAGGGACAAACTCCCTATTAATGCCTTCATTTTCATTCAGAAGACATGTTGGATGAGCAGGTGTCTACAAACTTTTGGACAGACCTGTGATTTTATCTATTTAGGAAAAAAGTAGTCTACAGATGCTGTGCTCGTGACTGACGGGAGATAAGCCTTCATTCACTCTTTCTATCTATTCAAAGTAGGCTAGGCTGAGACCTGGTGACAGCCCAGGAGAAAATGTGTCAATTAGCGTACAAGATTAGAAAAATGATCTGAACTCTTCAGCTCGCTCTAGTCGAGCTTATCGAGGGTGTGGATGTGGTTTTCTTTTCTGAATGGATCTGGTTCGTGTCGTTTCGAACAGAATTGTGATTCGACGACAAAAACAAAGACTGAAAGACTAACCGTGCTGTCTGTCAGTGTTGCTCGATTTTTCGATGATAAACAACACGGGTTAAAGTATCGCTGATAAGACCAGAACGAACAGGCAGACATGGCTTACGCGTTGCCGACGTAAATCCTCGGAAAGACCTCGTTGAAATGTTGTGCTGGTAAACTGTAGAAACCGCTGCCGTTGGACAAAAGCTCGTTGAGTTGTTGCACAGTGGCCTCGGTGTCAGGCACGGTCACTTCCGCTGGCGCCTTGACGGGGCTCTGGTGTTTCTTCATGGCTTTTCAGAGATAAAAAACACATACACGTGTGTGACGGTTAGTGTCGGCGATGGGTCTGTCTCCCGCAGCCCTGCATGTTACCTCCGCTCGGTGCGTGCGGCTCTGTGTTGTGCTCTGTCCCTTTCCTCGCTCGCAGACACACCCCGACTCGCCCACCGGCGGTCACACACACACACACACACACTTCGGAGACAGACACAGAGTGGCGGAGGACGACACACTCACCAGGGTGGCAACCGAGCACCGATAAACAAGTCAGTGAGAGCGCCGTTGTTAAAGGAGCCGCACTGTCTCCATGTTTCGTCACTAGCATGTAGCATGTATGCTAGTTCTCCAGCTTTTCGCGCCTTACTGTGGGTTACTATGGGAACGGACGGTGGACAGTGTTGTCTGATAAACAAGTAACGTTAGCCTACCGTGTTCCCCAACTCCTTCGGTTCAGGCTATTTCACAGCATTTCACCGGATTTATCAGTTAAGCTGAGTACTGTAAAGAGCACATATCACTGCAAAAACATATTTTCCATGCAGTTTTGAATTTCTGAGTTAAGCTGAGCCAGCTTTGATATAAAACATAAACATTGTTGAAGTTTCAAAATGCTTTATTCACTCCCTACTCCATACAGTCTCTGTATGGACAGAGAGGCTATAAGGTAGTTAGAACTTTCTGTATTGTTATCTTGAGATAATGAGTTAATTATCTTGTTATCTCAAGATAACAAAGTTGTTATCTTGAAACAGTTAGTTCGTTAGTTTAGTATCTCGAGATAACAAAGTTGTTATCTTGAGATAACAAGTTAATTATCTTGTGATCTCAATATAACAAAGTTGTTATCTAGAGATACTAAAATAATGAACTAATTGTTTCAAGATAACAACTGTTATCTTGAAAGAATTAGTTAGAGCTCAAGGCCTCTCTGGACGTCCGTAGATTAATGACGATGGGAGTGCTTTCAGGTACAAGGTTTTGTAATGAACAGATATGCGCTTTCATGGCTTACCTTATGATCTTTGTTTCATCTCGGAAGGCTAGAATAAGATGCAATACAGGGCAGCCATTCAGAAGACATTTAGAAACAAAAACAGCCTGCGTAATTCTTAGGGATGAAATGGTCATGTAAAAATTAAATAAGATAGGCCTACATAAACCCACACAACTAAGTGGACTTTAGGGGAAAAGTAAAATATGAGTAAAATGTAGGTTTTTGGGCCTCCTCATGTGCCCACTGTATACTTTCGTGCACATAACACACATTTTGTTAGCTAATTATTCACATTTACATGAGCTGAATCAGGTGTGATATAGTATGTAACACTGTGGGGTCTGCCACGGTTCATGTAGTGTTTGGCTGCCCGCCAGGCCAGAGGAGGACAGGGCACCCAGGAGCCGCTGCACCAAGGACACATCCCCAAAAGAGGACTAGGGTGCCCGCTGCCAAGGAGCAGGCACCCTGTGGCACTTGTGCTGGCTGGGACGGTGGCCAGACTGGGACTCTGTGTGCCCCAGAGACTTTGTTCATGATGTGTGGTCGCCGGGATGGACAGCTTTTCTTTGTGAAGTGCCTGCTTAATAAAAAATGGGCATTTGCACATACATGCAATGTTTTTTTGTGTCTGTGCTGATGCCACATTAGTGTCAGAAGTGGGATACCTCTGCTGAGCTACAAGTTGTTAAGCACTGTATCAGCAAACTCCAAGGTGCGTGGCAAGGAAGCACTGCACCAGCAGCTTGCCACACTGGCCTGCCTTCAAGCAGCTGCCTCTGAGTAAGACTGGGCAGAACCCATTCTCAGAGTAGAGACACCACAGCAAGCAACGCAGTGCTATATGGTAGAGGAGCTCAAGGAGGAGACATCGTGCCAAGCAGCACCCAAGCAAGTGGCGGCAGGACGACGGCGGCAGAGCAGGAAGAGGGGACACCACACCAGTCAGTGCCACAAACCTGAGGCGGTGGAGAGAACGACCTCGGCGTCAATGCCACAACCAGTAAGATCAGCTGCTGCCAAGGACTTTGAGTTGAGTGCAGCATAGACGGGAAACAGCTCACTGCCTTCACTGACATCAGCTCGTCAGTGTCACTGCCTTGGCCAGGTGTGCTGCTCTCGGGGTGGGAAAGCAATGAGTAGCTCAAGTCTGTCACCAGCAGCTGAGTTGACGTAAGAAGGAGGAAGCAGCTCCCAGTTGTCGTGGGGGGCCTGAGCCAAGTGCTCGAGTTCTGGCTCACACCTATGCAGGATGCGTGCATACTTGGGTTGGATCTCCTTGCAGCGTTAGGGCCATGCTCAACCTCAAGAAGGAAACGCTGGACTTGAAGATGGGACAAGTGAAACTGCTTGCAGCGGCTAGTGGTGGATCCCTGAGGGGCAAGGGCAGTGTACACAAGCAGCACCCCCATCAGCATCGATGACGCAGCGAACAACAGAGAAAGTGGAAGGCAGCTAAAAGGAGTGCCGCTGCTGATGTCATTGCTCCCAGTAGCACCGGACTAGACACTGTGAGCTGTGAGGATTTTTACTGGACCGAGGAGGAGGATGCAGAGTTCTCTTGGGCACGCACATGGCTCGAGGCGGGACAGAAACCGGGTTGGGCAGACGCCACACAGGCCAACCACTACGGTGCTTCATGCCGGTTGGGACAACCACTGGATGCAAGACAAGATGATGTACCACACGTGGGAGGAGCTGGTGCACCAGAGCGAGTGGCAGCGGAACAACTTGTTTGCTGGCAGAGCAGGAAGAGGGGACACCATGCCTGTCAGTGCTGGGTGGAGTACATGCCACAGCATGATTGCTTCACTGTTTGACATTCAAGTGATTCTCTAATTTATATTAGATCCTGCTGCAGTCTTTCCATCTTTCATTTAAAGTAGTTGACCTGACAATAAAAATTTACCTTTTTTTTACCTTGTTCGTTCTTGTCTAATATTAAGTACAATCCTTTAAAAGACAAAATTCAAAATGTAATGATTCTTGCCTTTCTCTAAAACATCTTCTGAGTTTTGATTATCATCATGTCATTATGTGTCAGCAGGAACGGAAAAATAGTATTAATCAATAATATCATGCTTCACCTACCCCTCCCACCACCCCCATGGTGATATGCTCTATCATCGAGCATAAATGTGGCATGGTACAGAAGAAAAATGCAATATGATTTCTGATTCACATTGACTTTAGGAACTAATCTATAAATTCTTATAAGATTTGCAACCACTTGGAAGCACATCAGCCCCCATTTGGCCTAGTTCAACTAAGCCTGAACAGGAAGTTGATTAAGATATTAATTAACTCACATATTGCTAGATAGTGGTTATACATAGCTTTAGGAGAATTATTATTAATCTGATATGTCGGTAGGCCTCCCTTGCATTGTGCGTGCACAATGCTATTAAGGTGCCTTTATTTCACAGTCACTCAGGCAGTTTATATTTTCTGACACAAGGGGGCAGTGCTCTCTCACTGAACTTTTCCAGTTACATCACATTTGTCTTAATATGTACTTCCTACAAATATTGAAAAGCGTTCTTCTTACAAAGAGTGTAGTTGTACCCAGGAGCTCTGCTGTTTCATTTGTGGGTAAACTGTCCTTATGCAGTAGTTATTTAGTTATTAGTAGTTCTTTAATAGGGCTGAAACACCACTGAGCTGTCTTTCTGCAGTTAGACTTTCTTCATTGTACAGTTCTGGCCACCATTATCAGCACCATTTTCTTTTTGATATAATATTTACAGTATCTTCATAAATAAATGGACACATACAAACTTTTTATCATTAGAATATTTTAATTGATGTCTAAAGTTATTAAACAAAAACCTGTCGGAAGTAATTTTAACAAAAAGAAACAAACTATGACATGGACAGTATTAATATTCCTTATATTTTGTTGCACACTCTTTAGCAGCAATGACAGCCTTCAAACATTTTTGGTAGCCATGTACAACCTTTCTGCACCACTCTACTGGTAGTTTTCCCACTCCTCCATTACCTTTTTAAGCTCTTGGATGTTTGCAGGGTGTGTCTTCACTATGGCAGATTTCAACTGTCTCCCATATTTTTCAGTGGGGTTGAGATCAGGACTAATTGCTGGCCAGTTTAAAACAGTCCACTTATTCCTTTGCAACCAATCTGTTGTGCTTTTTGATGTGTGTTTTGGGTCTTTATTATGTTAGAGCACCTGTGATCTTCAACACAAACCTAGCTTCCTTTAGCTAGATAGCACATTTCGCTCTGAAATGCTTTGGTAATCTTCTGCTCTCATTATTCCTTTAATTCAGTTGAGGCCTCCAGCACCTGGGGCAGCAAAGCAGCCCCACAACATGATGGATCCACCACTGTGTTTGACTGTAGATAGGGTGTTTTTTGCTTATAAGCCTCATTTTGTCTCATATAAACAAATGGCTGGTCTGCATTGCCAAAAAGCTCTGTTTTTGTTTTGTCTGTTCACAAACATTTGCCCAAAAGGATTGTGGTTTGTCTAGGTACATTTTGGCAAAGATTAGTCGTGCCTTCTTATACCTTTCTTTCAGCAATGGTGTCCTTCTTGGCTTTCACCCATGAAGTCCTTCCTGGTACGGGCTGAAACCGTCACTCCAGATTGCTTCAGGTCTGCCTTTAGCTCTCTGGATGTTACACATGGTGTTTTACACTGCACTGCACTGACCTTCGACGACTTTTCTTACTGATTTTTCCTCTTTGACCCGTGCCCTAGGAGGTTCTTGACAGTTCCAAGAGCAATAAAATACTTAATTACATTACGCACTGGTGAAACAGGGATGTCAAGGACTTTTGAAGGTGGCCTTGTACGCTTGACCAATCTTGTGTTTGGAGATAACAGCACTTCTGATGCTCTCAGGCAGCTCATTGTCTTCACCTTTGTGAAAAAGATCAGGGAAAGTAAAGTGGCCTTTTAGGCATTAAAGCCATCATTAATTGATTAATTCAAGTCATCTGAGCCCTCATTTATCACAGGTGATTCTAATTTCTGATTTAAATCTAATCTAGTCTAATCTGAATGGAATTCATCAAAAGGGTGCCAATAATTGTGTCAAATTAATTTTATGCAGTTTTATGCTTTTTCCCCCCCATCACTTTTTTTAGCTTAGCTGTCATGTAGTGAACATGAGTGTATATTGACCAAAGATGCTTCACAGCACATTTGTATTTTAGGAGATATTATACGTTATGTACTTAAAATCCAGGGGTGCCAATAATGGTGGCCAGAACTGTAACAGCAATAGAGGGTTTCAAGAGCTATTACCCATCTATAAACAAGAGATATTTTCTCATCTCATCATATCTCCTTGTGTGGAGAAAAGGAAACCTATTGTGACAAGATATGG